ATGAGTACGTTGAAAACGTCTAATAGCTTCAAGTAGCAAATGTAGTACAGGTGCGTTCAGTGTTACACTTTCTTAATCACTGACAGTGAACTCAGGTTGTAAAGCCACAAGAAAGTTACCCTAGAACAGATTTAGAACATGTTAGAATTACAAAAATTTTAGAGAAAGAACGGCTTTTATACAAAGTAAAATGTCAATATAACTTCCTTTGTTTACTGATTTCCTTTCACATCAATTCTAATTTGTTTTTTAGTACTGATGTGCATGAGCACTCCCAAAAGTACGCAACAAACACTTTGAAGATGTTGTCGGCCTGATGTCGAGTTATGGTCACATGGAGCACTTTATGGAAAAATAGATTGAAGATGAATCAGAAAAGTGAATTTTGAACAGCTTTAAGAAAAACAGCTACGCTGAATGAGTCGTCTTAATCGTATGCTGTGTTATATCGATTGTCTATGTTTTTCCGAAAATGTGTTGCTTAAAATATTGAAGTAGATGTCCCACTGCAGATGTTTATAATATAATTAAGGTGTTTTGATCTATATTTTGTATTTGTACATTTCGCTTTGTAGTTACTTTCATTTTGAATTTGTTATGTGATCTGCGTATGCTATGTATTTTTAGATGCCTATGTTGAACGCGTGGGCCTCAGGAAGAGTAGATACAGGGAATTGAAACTAATGGGCATCCAAATAAAAGAAACAAATAAAGATTTCCTTGTGTTTGAGGATTAAATATATTCATGATTTGAATATTCTAATTGAAACCATTTTCAAGGCAAAGACCTGGATCAGTCAGTTTGGTTGAACCCACATATCAAAATGTCATACAAAGAGGGGAAAAAAAAAAAAAAAAAACAAGTGTGAAGCACCCGGCCCACATGGTGACCCTGCAGCCCTCTAACCTCCTAAGTCATGCTTGTAAAAAGAAAAATAAATCCCTCCCAAATGGACAGCTGCCACGGTTTCCAAGCAACCCACACAAACAACAGGAAACGGGAGAGGAATCCCATTGGAGATGCCGTGAAAAAAGGAAAGGCATTGACAAGAAGCAGGAAATGGGGAGGGAAAAAAAGGTGGGGGGGAAGAAGGCATCGCTGGCAGGGCAGTTAAACCTCCCCATAAATGTCCGTCGAGGGTGATTTTTCTGGACTTTAAAGTCAGAACGATTGGTTCTACACTAGAGGTGACTTGTGGTTGCCATAATCCAGGATTGATCTATTTTTAAAATCTTTTTTTATTAGATGTCAATACCATCACCAAGGTCAGGGAATAACACTGACAACAGTTACAGTCAACTCTCCATAGGAGGAGTGGCATGAAAATACATCTGTACTGAATGACACCGACTTCAATCTACACTCTGGTTTTGCTTAACATGTAGTTAAATAACCCAATTTCACCAGTATCAGATAGCCTGCTAACTCAAAAATGACATTAATGCTAACGTCCCAACAGGAGTTTTTGCAAGACATTAATAATATCCTGCTACAACACGGGGTTAAAGGTTAAGACCACAACTATAATCAAAAACAGGCAATGTGTTTTGCTTGTCTGAAGAGAAATCTAACTCCACACATATACGTGGCTCCATTCTATACTTCTGGCCTATTGATAAATGGACTTATAGCATATTTTAGCACAATTCCAGGTAATATGAAGTGGACAAAGTAGACAGAAAAATTGTTCTTTTCTCGAACGCCATCAAAGGTAATCATCAGCGCTTCCTATCAAATTTTGATTTAAGCATTTTGAAGTAAAGAAAAGATTGTTGGAAATGGTAAAACCCTCAAAATGTCAAATTTGCAAAAAAAAAAAAAAAAAAGTTTGTACACTCACTTTAGGTGGTTTTTGGCTGTCAATCTGCTAAAGGAAAGATGGAAAAGCAGCATTTTTTTTAAATAAGATCTGACATAGCAAACACTCCCATCCACTTGTGGGTCTGTGCTTTACAAAAGGGACGAAACTCTGAAAATGTCCTGGTCCAAACTTCCTGCACAGTAGGGAGAACTGTAGCCTAAAATGGCAGACGAAAGGTACTCCATTCTGGGATGGGTGGTGGATCGCATCGATTCACTGGTGGGTCTGTGCCTTTCCTAGAAACACACAACTCTGAGAAATTTCTAAGTCCAAACCTCAAGCTTGGAATGGAGGAACTCTCTATTTTTCTGAGATGTTTGGAACATCTGTATCTTGTTTATTACAGCCATGTGTAACGTCAACATCTGACAAAATTACGCTCTGTGTAGCCTGATTGATTTGCTTGAAACCAGTAGACGGAAACATGCCTAATTTGCATTTTCCTTTTTTCTCGAAAGTTCACATGACAATTGGATGGAAATGCATCTATTGAGAGCTGCCTGAGCAAAGAATACACAGCCAGACACGGTTACTGTAGGGGCCAATACAGTCGCTCTTTCACTATCAAAGTCATGGTGAAGTCATCCACGATCTCTTAAAAATTATAATAAAAAAATAAAGCTAAGACACTTTTCAAGTAAGCATAATGTAGTTAACAGACTTACAACATAACAAAGCTCACATAGGCGTTTTCCCATCACCAGTTATCACGTCTCTGCAGTAGGAGTCTCAGATTGCACGATACAGCATTTGCATACATTTCCACTTGAGTTCTAGACATCCTCTACAGATCTCAACAGAAAGGCACTCAGTGGTTTGCTTACAAAGAAGATGTCAGTTAGGAAAGAAAAAAAAAAGTAAAATGGCAGACTGTGGACAAGTCACACAATCTATTGGAAAATAATATAAAAAAAGATTACGAGTTCCCCATGTGTACTCATTGTAAAATGGAGAGTACTCCCCCATCAAGGTTCAGAGCTTTAATATTCCGAAAATGGGTTTCTGGGGTGTTCATCAGAACCTTCTCCATTTTTGTTTGATCTTGGTTTAACAATTAGGTTAAGAAAAGTTCATTTTAGCATTTAGTAAAGGCTGTATCCATTAGTATTTTGGGGAGAAAAAAAATTAGAACTTAAAATTTTTCCACATTTATATCACAAACTTTAATGTATATGATATTTTATGTGATAGACTAATTTTAAAGGTCTTTATGACTGTAAATGTAGGGGAGGTGTGATTGACATTTTGACCTTTAAAATTTCATGAATATCTTCAAAGCCAAAGCAGCACAAAAACATTTTTAATGCACAAATGTTTGACACCATTTTTGTCTGATTTGAAGAAGGTGGATGTCTTATTTGCTCAGGTTGGAGAAAGACCCTAAAAATACATCCAGGGCTGCAATGGAACGGATGTACAAGAGCACATCCGTAGGTTAGAATGGTCCAGTCAAAGTCCAGATCTGAACCCTGCCTAGAATCTGTGGCAAAACTTAAAAATTGATGTTTACCGACACACTCCAACCCAGTGGGACGGAGCTTGAGTCACTTGTTTTTTTATTCTGTCTGTCTGTTGGAGACACACCCCAAAAAGCCTCGCAGCTTCAACTACAGTGAAAGGCAGTTTTACAAATTATTGACTCAGAGGGGGCAGAAGACTGGAACCAGACCACATAAAGAAAAATCCATTAAAATAGTAGAACAATACCTCAGTTTTAAATTTACTGCTATACAAGATCATTTGAGGAGAACTTGCCGTAGGACTGGATCTCTGTGGACAAGATCCAACCGTGAGGTACACGGACCATCTTAAAGATTTAATTCTCTCCTTAAACGACCTGATAAAAAAAAAAAAGGCAAGAACTACTTATTTTTCAGAACTCATTGCATCACATAGGAGAAACCCTGAGTTCTTATTTGACACAATTGAAAACCCCATTTGTGATCCCTTCTCCTTATTTTCCACAAAAGCAGATTGTAATGTTTCTTCATGTCATCCCTGAACTTTTCTTTAAGGATGCATTTCAATGTCTTGGCCCTTTTGTGGTGAACATAATTAATTCTGGGTTTTTTTTATCCATTTAGATGCTATTTAGATGTTATTTGTCCACTGTTTAAGAAACCACATTTGGACTCATCTCTACCACCAGCTACAGACATCTTGAAAGTACTATATTCTCTATCAAAGATCCTGGGAAAGACTTTAGCTAAGCAATTATATCATTTTTTCTGGATGAACATAAAGTTCTGGATATTTATCAGTCATGTTTCCGTAAATTTCTCCTAACACAAACAGCTTTGTCAAACAAAACAAAAAGTTTCCAGTGACATGTTGGTGGCAGCTGATTACGGAGAGCAAGGGAGAGAAGAGGAGGGGGGCAGCACATACACAGGTTTGATTGACAGTGCTAAGACCGTCCACCTGACTCTGGTTGGTTGTTTCTAGATAGCGTTAGCACTGGGAGAAGGCAGAGAAGCTAATTTTTTTTCAACGCATACCATACTGTCACAACATGGTGACAAATATGTAAAAAAAAAAAAGAAAAGAAAAAATTTGGATTAAAGTTAACATACTGCAGCTTTAACGAAATGTCTCAAAGCTGAGGCTATGGGTGTCGAAAAATGAACTCAAAATGGTAAAGCATGCTTTTGTCTTATTTGGACTATTTTAACAGTCTTTTTACTTGTCTTATTAAATCAGTTTTAGATTGTCTTCAGTCTGCACAAATTGAAGACTCTTAACAAGGACAAATAGAAGAGAACACATTATCCCAGTTCTGGCCTCCCTGAACTGGCTCCCTGTATATTATAGAATACGGTTTAAAATATTAGTCCTGACGTTTAGGGCACTTCATGGCCAAGCTCCTAAGCATATTCAGAAGTTATTGGAGGTAGACGTGATACCACGAACTCATTATGAAACTCATGGAGATCTCGCTTTTAAGGTTGCGGCCCGAGGCTTTGGAACTCTCTCCCACTGTCCCTGGGCTGCAGGAACTCCACTGACTCTTTTTCACAAACATACCGACAACTAGACTACTAAATATATTTTGGAGTAGATTCTTCCTTTATGTTTGCATCATTTTTGAAGAGCTGTGATTTTAATGGCTGCGATAGGTGTTACCTAAATAAATTTTACATACTTACTTCTTGAGCAGAAGCAGAGGCGTCCTGGAGTCTTGTCAACGGGACAGAGGCACGGATTGACCTTACGAGCAAGTTTCCCCAAACCAAGCACAACCTAAGTGCCAAAAATATGAGGTTAATTGGGATGTCTGCTACTGTCGTTATTTTTAGATTAATCCCCCATATAAACTAAACCAAGTTTTTTACATGTCACTAAATACAGAAGTTACAAGAACCTGAGGGTATGTGATCGGTTGGGATGGCAATATCAATGTTCCTTTCTGAAAATGGAAAAATGAACAAACCACGCTAAGAAAAAAAACACCCCCCAAAAAACATGATAGTCAGCACACTATAAAGAATGGAGTTCTTACCAATGCCTGTCCACTTATCCAGGATGCAGACCCGCAGAGCGGCGATTCTCTTTGTGAATCCCGCATGTGCGTTCAGTTAGGAGTATTGATGTTCCTTGTAAATCTCCAATTCTGTCATACTGTAGTTAAAAAGAATAGCAGTGGAAACAATGACTGCCTGTGACAAGTCATCTCTTAATTTTAAGTGGACACGATGGCTGCATTTAGACTGAACACAGATGTCGGAGTGACCCGTCGCGTAACCGAGGCCCTGTCTGTGCCGCAGCTGCGTAAACGGCTTTTTAACGTAGAACAGCCCGGCGGAGGAAACCCAACAGTAAAAGCGGCCACGGCGTATGAGCAAGGGTTTAAATCACCAGCAAAGACAAAGGCCTCGGTGCGACATTCAAGGGCCAGAAAAGCGAAACCATCCAACCTCGTAAGTCCCGACGGCCATTACTGGCACCGCAGCTAAAACTCAACGGGATGAAACGCTGGTAGACAGAAAATAGGCCTGACGTCATGCTGTTAGGTTTCAAACTGACAATATGGTCCTCATCAGATCTCCTTCCTGCATAATTATCTGCACTACAAGTCAGGCGGCAGCGTTGCCTCATAAGTCGTGCGCTTTCAACCCGCAGGAACTGTTATTGCCGCGGCGTTTGAATTAGCTACACATGTGGGTAAGATACAGAAGCCATGGTGGAGCTCTTATCACAACTCGCACGGTCAGCGAAACGGCTTCGGCGGGATTCAGTAAAGGATCGTTAGTAAGAAAAACACTGTCGATTTCTCAACCCTGTGGAGATGTGTTTAATCAAGGGAATAACAAACAGCAGACAGCGCTGGCATTTCTTTTATTTCTGTATTTGCTTTTCGCCGCAGACGGTTACTTTTTCTTCCCTGTTATTTTGAATCTTTTCTCACAGTTTCTTTTATTATTATTATTATTACAGTCTTGCAAAAGTGTACACATGAGCTAAGCTATTTCCTCAGCTTTGAAATTTGTGGTTATAGTAGAACCACAAATTTAAACATAATTCGTTGGGTCTTTATGATCAACTGTTTTTGAAATAATATTTTTTTAAAAAAGAAATCATGTGATGCACGACAATCTGTAAATATGTCGACTGCAAGTTCTGCACATCACGAAAATGACCGGTTCTGGCATACATCATGCTGTGAAGTCGTTCAGATCAAAGCATGTGCACATGTTAAAATGCTAAATCAAAGTCCAAATGTAAAAATCAAATTGCAAATATAAAATAAGATTTAAAAGCTGCTGTTCACAGGCACTTTTTATTCTAGCTGACTGAGCTTGAGAATTAAAAAAAAAAAAAATACAATGGCCAGAAAATTTGAGCAGCTATCCCAAAAGTCACACACTTTAAATGTTTACTTGAAAGGAAAACAAAAAACAAAAAAAAACTCTTCTCTTTCCCACTTTATAGTCAAGTTCGTCTATCACAGAAATATTAATTAAAGTACAAATGAAGGGATAAGAATACCTTCACAGTGATTCAGACACAATGAAGACAATCGTCACTGGAGCAGCACGTAAACACATCCTGCGCACCACTTCTTCCCGATTTTTCTAGCAACAAAGGATTAGTCAAGGGCCGTGTGACAATGAGAGCCCCCTCGCCCCCCGTTTTTTTTTTTTTTTTTTACGAGCCAGACATGTACGCTACTTCCTGTTCAGAAGAGGAATCTCTGAAAAAAGCCTGCTGCTAATCATACGGCGCTGTCCAGACATGCCTAAGATAGCTCCCAGCAGTTCTCCATTGAAGTGTGCCCTTACATGTGTCTGTATGTTCGGACTCAAAGGTAAAAAAAAAAAAAAAAAAGGAGAAGTAAGGAAGCAGCTTGGACGCCGCGCACTTGCTAAAGGACGAAAGGAGGCATTCGGCCTTGGAACTTCTTCTTTTTTTTCAATTCCGCTGACAAATTAAATGAAACGCTGTGAATGAAGGAAGAAATCATTTTTCAGGTAGCTAACTACATTCCCCCTGGGTTGTTCACAACGGTAGAGATTGTGTTTGATGAATGTTTACAGCTGTGATTCAAGTACCGTGGCACAGGGGGAAAAAATAATAAAAAAAAAATCTCAGAAAATGGGTAATTATAGCATAGGGGAACTTTGGATTGTCAGTGCGCACGTTTCCCCGGATATGTCAAACAGGAATTATACTTTGTACGCGGAGATGATTAACTACACAGCCATGAAAGAGGGAACTTGCTTGAGGTTTGCGTCCCTCGAGTTGTAAAAAAAAATAAATAAAAAATGTCCAAACTACTCCCGGACCGGGACACGCTTCTTCTCCGAGTTTACTCGTCTCGTTTGTGTCATATCAATATCTTCTCCGAGCTCCGCTTTCTTTTTTTCTTTTTTTCTTTTCTTTTTTTTTATTTTACCCCTCTTGCTAATGGTTCCTTATGTCTAGACAAACAAATAACAACGGGGATAAGCTAAGAACTTGGCAAAGTGTTAGATCTGATTATTTAAACCTGTCAACTTTCCGTCTGACTTTTATGCGTAAATCTTTCAGGGAGTTCTAAGAAATGTGCTCTGACCATGCCAAGATGAAGACCGACTCCCGTGCCAAACCACGGGTTGTAAATATTATATTTGCTGGCATTAAGCGCAGCACTTATGCTGCAAAACTCACTCTCGTGCTTTTCTTTTCTTTTCTTTTTTTTATATATATATCATCAGGATCATTGAAAAAGAATTAGATTGATGAAAGATGCTCCACACTGAAGTAATCCACCAAAAGAAGAAAACAAGAAGAAGACCACAAAAAGAGAAGGATTATGCTTTTTATTTGTCCGTCCTGATCTGGTTTTTTGGTTTATAATGGCATACTAGCATAGGATAAATAATTTTTTTTCTTGAAAGATGAAAAAGTGCATCAAAATGATGTTTTGTTTTTTTGTTTTTTTCTTGTAAGACAAATGAGCAAGGAACGGGCCACTCGTATATCTCAGACAAAGACAGCCTAACATGGCTAATGCTTTCAGCAGACGTGTTGTAGCTGCGTGGAGCGTGCAACGTAAAATTGCCAGATTTAACAACATCATAAATCAAAATTAGGTATTTCCAGGAAGGATTTATAATAAAGACAAATTCTTGTTTAGAACAGAATGTTTAGGGATTAACTGATGATTTGTGTGATGATAAAAAAAATAAACAAAGCTCCCAGGAAGGATGTTAGTACGAGACGTCAAGTACTGCAAACTATCGCACTTGGCTGTTTTTTCTTTTTTTTTTTTAATAAAGCGATGTAAGCTGACTCTTTGTATATATATGCACACACACAACCGTGTAGTACTCATCAATCAGTGAATTATATATTCTTTCACTGCCTTGCAAAAGTATTCACAGCCTTAAAACTGACCCACACAAACTTCAATATGTAAAAACACCCATGAAAAGTAGCTTTTAATTGTGAAGTGGAAGGAAGACAATGGTTTTCACATTTGTTCACAATTAAAGTTAATTTTGAATTAATCCTTTTAAACTAATGAAATCCAGCACAATAGCTTAACTTACTATATATATATAAATTTGTTCATAGACACCACTTTGATAGAGCTACTTTTATTTCTGTGAATATCTGTGGGGTTACGTAGAGAATTTTGGTGCTCAATCATTTTTCACAGGCCATGCAGGTGATGCTGCCAACTTGTGGAGGAGTTTGCTCTGATCAGATGAGACCTAAATATTGGCTTCGCATCAAGCGAAACATGGCGGTGGTGGCATCATGCTGTGGGGAGGGCTGTTGTCCATGGGGGACGGTAAAATCGGTCGGTGTTCAAGGGAAATTGAACGATGCTAAAAGCAAGTTTAACCTTCCAGCGGAACAACCCACACATTCAACCAGTTCAAGAATTGGTATTCAAGTATTGGAATGATCTAGTCAAAGTCCAGGCATGAATCAAATTCAGAATTTGTGCCAAGACTTTAGATCTGATGCACACAGACACTGTGCATCCAATCTGACTGAGCTTGATGGATTTCGCAAAGATTCATTTTCAGAAGGTGTCCAGTGACCTTCTGTTAATTGATCGCCAATAGTCTGATCACAGTCCACTGTGTGTTTGTGGCAGTAATGAGAAAGAGTTTGAAGAATGAAAAAGGTGTCTGGATTCTTTGGTAAGTAACTGCAAAGTATACTTGAAATATAACATACTAAAATTCTCCTAGCAAAAAAGAAAAATAGTCACCTCTTTACATTTGTTGTAATAAGCATTACTCTCATATATATATATATATATTTTTATTTTTTATTTTTTTTTTTTAAATCAGTCTTTAAGAATAACCCTTTTTACTGCTTAATACCCAGCGGCTACAGTCCCTGTAACTAAGCCTCGGCAACTGTTGACACAACGTTAGCTACTGTTGCTTCCCTCAGCATTACAGAATCCATCATGAGATGCTTAAAGTTGTTCAGCGAGTTGCGCCGGTTGGCTGGTGCCCATCGGCTACTTTTCTCCCACCGCTAAGTTTTAGGATAATTCATCTCCCAAACTACGTGATCCTGCTTTTTTATCTTTGAGCTCACACACGCTCATTGGCCAAGCCGCAGCTGACGCCAAAGAGCTTCTGTAGGCAAAGAAAACACCGCGTCCCATTACTTTCTTCTGGTGCAGGCAGCGTTGCCCCACAGCTCTGCCTCGCCTCGCCTGCCTTCCCCCAGAAGTCAATCTGTTTCTGATTATGTGTGATCATCCTCGGGCTTGCCAGAAACATTTCAGACACAAGCAACTCCATTTTTAGTTTTTTTTTTTTTTTTTCCAAGGGACCTGGAAGACATTCAAAGTAAATGTCATTGTAGCTTGTCAAAGCCATCGTTAATTATGATGATTGGAACAAATGATGTGATGACATTACGGTTTTTAAAATAATTTTCATACATAAAAACATGTGCTTGGAGTATTACAATGACATTGAACTGTACCCATTTGAAATTTGTCAGTGCAAGCTGACAGTGTTAATTTTATTATTTAACGCTCAGGTATTTTGGATGTTCTTACTGATTTGCAGCAACTTTTCAGATCAGTTGACAGGTGAAGATGGTAAGCTGGGCTATTAAACTAACATCCACCAACACTGTACCTTTCATTTTTAGATGTTGCTTCTCTTCTTGCTACAGACACTTTGTACAAAGTCAAAACTTGGAGAAATGAACAGCAATTTATGAACCATCACACCCTGGCACATTGTTGATGAATTGCTACTGCATAATAAGTTACGTTTAAGGGAGTGTCGCCATCTTGTTTTTCTTCACGACTTGATAATCAGACAATCACCTCAGGAAGAAAGTTCCTGAGATGGGAGCATTCACACCAACCCTGTTTAGTCCGCTTTAATCAAACTTTAGATCATTTGTCTACAAAGTCAGTTTTTTTGGGGGAGAGGAGGCGTGAATGAGCAATCGAACTCTGATGCAGATGAAAAAAGCCAACTCTGGTCCTCCTAAAAACCTAGGTCTTGGTTCAATTAAAGTGAACTCTGGTGCAGTTCGAAAGCATGTGGATGGAAGCAGACCGGAGACCTCTCCAAAAGCAGGAAGTAGACCATAGCGCATGGCATTCTGTGTAAATACAGTCAAAACAAACGTGCAAGTCAGTGGACATAGACTTTATCAAAAACAAAAGGGAAATCATGCAGACGCTAAAATCTGACGCTACTCCAGGTTTTGTTTACATTTTGTGAAGAAGGAAGTTGTGCTCATGCCTCCTGAGATTTTTTTGTCATTTCCTTCAACAGTTCTTGGTGCAGCGCCACCACAGGTGTGTGGGCGGGGGTACAGGTTTTTCATATAGCTTGGATCATTTGCCACAGTGCAGTGGCAACGAGAACGGCACCAGTTAAAAATGTAACAAATGTTGCAATTTTGAACCCAATCGAACAGATCTACTGGACTATCAGGTGTGAAAACACCCTTATTTGCTAATATAATAAGCTAGGTACAGTTCTTTTTCTGTTGCAACCATTCCATGAATTCAGCAAACAGATGTGACTGAATCTTTCATCGGTGTAGAAAGAGCATCTGCATAGTTTAACCTGAATTATTATTGGGTGATTGCTTTGACATTGGTGTAGCACTTATGTAAGTTTTGCAGCAGTGGAACATATGTGATGTCCCCACACCACACATTGCCCTGGCTTTGAGTCTTTTTTTTTTCCTTCCACATCCACATTGTGTATTACTTGTATTTGGGAAAAGATCCATCGTCAATTAACGCTGCAGCTCACCTCTACACCCAGAAGTCCAAAATGAAGCCGGACAATGGAATATATTATCTCTTTCACTGTGTTCTCTTGGCATGAGCAGAACAAGATAGAATTACGACGGAAAAGTTTTCTGTGGCAGAATGAGTCAATATTTCAGTTCTCTGTAAGAAAAACCAGATGAGCTTCAAACAGGCCAAACAAGAGAACCAGACCATCAAGGCTGTTATCAACAAGAGGCATAAAAGCCAGCTTCTGAGATAAGACTGAGGGATTCATGGGACGGACGGGTGGCTTTGTGTGTGTAAGATACCATTGAGACAGGTGTACGCAATAACATCTGGGGAGGCTTACGGCTTGCTACAATCTATTTAGTGTCCATTCATATTTTAGCAAAACTGCTAGCGTAAGAAAATCTCTTGAAGAAAGATAATTTACATCAGTTGGGGTTTAAAGCAGGGGCGAACAAGTTTGTCTCCACTACGATGTGTGAAATAACCTGAAATAAATTCATATTTTAAAGTTTTATACTGTAAAAATATCTGTATATTTAACAGCGATTGCCAACAGTAAAATTGCTGCTGGAAAAATCTGTAAAACTAGAAAACAATTTCAACCTGCTAATCTGATGTGAAACTAATCGGTGAAAATTATCATTTGTACATTTTACATTTTGTACGTTCATTTTGCAGGTTGTTTTTAAGTTTGTTTTAGGAAAAACACTTCTATCCTCCTTTTAAAACATTTTCATTTTTTAACTATAAAGTCAACAACAACAGTGCCGTCTAACCAATGAAAGACAAACAATGTTTTCCTCATAATTTTACAGTGAAATTCTTACAACAGCTGACAGTTTTACCACAAAATCCACTTTTTTTTTTCTGTTTATGCGGTGTGCAGATCATGTCCAAAGTTCGCACTTTTCCAGGATAAAATATGAGTTCAAATACAAGACTGGCAAAAACCAGATGAAGGAAGCAAAAAGGAAAATGGAAAGAAGGGATTAAGCAATAAACCAATGAAATGAAGAGAGAAAAAAAGGGGGGGAAAAAAGAAACATAGAAAGAAAAGATGTAGCGCAAAACAGGTAGCAAGAGGATGCAAAAAATAACTTAGTAATAATCAATTGTTAAAAAGAAGGATGCTTGGATGCAGAGCAGGACAAAGAGCAAAGACAGAAGGAAAATTTTCAAAACATGTCTTTCTTCAGTCATAATGGGTAAGCATCAAATCCCCTACTCCAACATCTCTCTGCCCAGCAGCCTAGCCATCAGGCCAGAACCAGAGTTAAAAAAAAAAAAAAAAAAAAAAAAAAGCAAATGAGGTAGAATATCAGTGCTGGCCAACAACTGACGGTGTCACTCATGACGTGTTTCTTGGGAATATCATCTCTGCTGCTGAGTTGATGGCATGCCATGTCAATCATGAGAATCAGTCTTCTGTCAGAGGCTTCTCCAGACTCACTGTAAGAGGTCCCGCCTGTCCACAGGATCACCAACCACAATGACATTTATATTTGAAAAAAAAAAAAATAAAAAATACTTGGATGATCTGAGTTATGACAAGATTTACATACAGGATTTTTGTATTAAATTTGTTTTTTAATCAATATAAAAAAGGAGGAAGGAAGAAGGGTAAAAACAAAAAAGTCAGAAAGGAATGGAAGAAGGAAGGAAGAAAAAAAAATAAAGGAGAAAGGAGAGAATTGAACAGGGAATACATTTCAGAAAAACAAATATTTTCTCATACTCTGCCTTCTTTTCTATACTTTTCCAGACCAGTGAAAGTAGCTAAGTGAAATCCCATACTTTGTCAGTCTGGTATGTGGTAAAGAATGTGATTTGAACTTTGATGTTGGCGTCAGTTTCTCAATTTTCTGGTGACTAAGATGATGGACATCTTCAGAACTGAGAAAAATCCTATTTTTGCATTTTGGAGGAAATAAAAAAGAAAAAAAAGAGAAACCGTCAAACTTTAAAAAAAGTATTTATTTGGGATTGTTTACTCATATGGAAAGCTCACTTTACACTGAGGGGGGCAATATTATCAACAGAATAATGTAGACTGATCATTTGTTGATATGGAAGACGTCGGTGCAACTTTCTCTCTCTCTCTCTCTCTCTCTCTCTCTCCCAAACGCCCACGCGCACACGTGCGCGCGCGCGTACAAACACCATTCCCTCCACCTCCCCCGGAGGGTTCCCTGGGTGGAAGACATCATCAGCCGCTCCAGGAGGTTGCAGAAGCCGGCCGCGTCATCCTGTGGAATGGGCGGCGCACGGACGGAGGGTGTTTTCCAGCTTTAAAAGCACCGGAGCCGGCTCCTCTGACAAACCGAGCTGCGTCATCCAACTGTGGAGACTTCTCAGAGAACCTTCACCGCTCAGAAGCGGTCCAAAACTCACCTCAACCCGGTCCAAACGCTGCCGCTCTTCCTCCCCCCTCTCCTCCTTCCCCTCTCCGACACGGTTTACTCCTCTCGCTCGTGCTCAGAAGAAAAGTTCACTCTTCTGTTTTAAAGATTCCGAAGCGAATTATGCCTTACGGCGTGTGAAGTAAAGCAGTGTTGCCGCTCTTGAATAGTACCGTCGGCGAAGACGTTGGTGCACGTTGAGCGCAGCCGGACGAAAGTTGCGCATCGCTTGTTGAATGCAGGATACCTCCAGCCTGAGCGTCAAAGCCAAGTTCAACTTCGGAGCAGCAGCGCTAGCAGCAGCAGCAGCAGCCGGTCAGGAGCGGGGACTCCAGCGTCTCAAATCTACCGCCGCCGCCGATATGAAGTCTGCAGAGGAAGGTAACATTTACATTCATAATGTTTGATTTGAATATAAAGTGCATTGATATAGAATATTCTCTTAAAGGAAAAACAAAACAAAACGCTTATTTCTCCAGATTTTATTGACTGAAAAAAAACAACATCTCTTTAAAATCTCATTGTGTCAGTTCCACAACACATTGTTTTGGCTGAACTCTGCCAAAACACAATCTTATTCAAATGCATTACATGCACACCGTTACCAGTCGTGTTTGCAGGTGCACCTCTTCTTAAAGATGATGGGATTCATAAACCCTGACTGCTATGAAAGTGTCATGTTAGATGTAGGGGTGAGGAGGGAACAAACGGAGAGCTTCTTCATCCCAGGGGTTGTTGGAGATTCTGATTCTTTTTAGGCTTCTGTGCAGAAGTTGAGGTAGTGGTTTGCCTTTTTAAAATATGAGCTTGAGAGAGGGAGAGACATAGCCGGCCCAAGACATAAGCAAACTAAGCAGCTGCTTTTCATGGGGGGGTGGATCAGAAAAGGGACTAAATCAGGTTAAGAGATAATAGTTTCTCTTAACCTGTAAAGCGAAACTCCCTTAATGTGTAAAATGTTTACTTTTCTCTCATTGAAATTCTATATTTTCAGCTTTCTACACTATAGAACCACCTTCAAACTGTGTCAAAATCAAGACTAAAAAAACGGCTTTTCACTATTTTTTTTTTTTTTTTTTTTGTAAATTATTTTTGTATTACTTCACATCAGTACATCAATCCCTCCACAGCTGGTAGAGAATGTCATCATAAGTTCAGTAATCGTTTTATAAAAATAAAAATTTACACTAATGTCAATACAGAAAACATATATATATGTCTCATATATACATTGTAAGTGTAACACAATTTCCATCTCATGTTACTTTTTAGTTGCGAGTTGTAGTCATGGTTAAATAAAATGCACTAACATTTGAGCATGGGCGATATTCTGTGGTGCCCGTTTTCTGCTGGAAGGCACACAAATCAGATCCCATTCACATTCAAGGCAGCAAACTTTGATTTCTTTTTTTTTCCTTCTTTTTTTTATCTGAAGCTCTTTATAGTCTGTTTAGTCTCAATTTTCAGTGCTGATGGCACTGGCTTTTTGTGGATGTTGGGAATTTCATTAAGTCTTTGAGGTTCCGTACAGACGGGTGCAGGCCTATTATTCATTTCAGTCCCTGAGCACTAAGCCTCATAATTGGTAACAGGCATGTGCGTGTGTCTGTGTTTGCAACTAAGACGGAGAGCTGTGATCTGCGCGTTGTGGGATGTCGGGTAGCCGACTTGACAAGGAGCTATGCGTAACCACACGGAGATTCAGCTATGCGCCATGAGCCGCTAAGCTATCGTAGATAAATCCAGATGTCCACACACACACACGCACACACACACACACACACACGGACCCGTCCGATGTTTGGCCAAAGATCTTTGCCAGCCATGCGTGCACAAAAATGGCCCCAGGGCTCTCAGTTCCAGAGGCTGCAGATGACTTCTGTAAGGGACCACGTATCTCTCTTTCTGAGATCCTGTCAGTCTGAGCGCAGCCTCCACCACAATCCCTGTGGATAAGCTCCAGTATTCTTTAGTCATACTGGTTTAGTTGTGGTGAGAGAATGTTTTGATCATGATAGTGTAATTGAGAAAAATTGCTGTGCACGGAGAGAACACGTTATAATCTGTGCGACAGTGAGAGCACTTTGAGACCACGCCGCAAGCAAACGTGGAGGCACTGTTTTGTCTTCAAGTGTGGCTTTGACCTTTCTTATAATCATCTCCCCGCACCCCAAAAAAAAAAAAAAATTCAGAGCTTTCTGAAAGTTTTCTTTCTTCAGCAGCAGTGACGCGTGTGAACCCGGAAAACCCGAGTTTCAACATCATGCCGTGTGTAAAAGTGAAAGCCTCAATGTGTTTTGAGTGGGTGTTAGAAGAAGTCAAGTGTGCTTGCAACTCAGTGCACAGATCAAACACACGTTTAGAGGAGTAGCAGAAACAATCAGCTGCAGCGCAAGCTAAAGGCAGCCGGGCCTGACTCAAGGAGGAGTATCACGGCGGGTGGAGCGGGCGGGAGACCATCATCTGTTCAGACCAGAAAAGGGAGAGAAAGGCATCAGAGAGGACTGAGCTGGGTCACACTAGCTTTCATGCTGAAAGAGTGGATAATGACAGAGGCAGAGATGAGTTCCCAGCAAGAAGAGCAAGAGTTTGACTTCAGCTATTTGTTTGAGGACAGTCAAGCTGCCCAGAATGAACCAGACAGAGGTGGGTAGTGAGGAGCAGAAAAGCCTTTCCTAATTTATTGCTATTAGGGGATTCATATTAAATTGTCTGAAAACTTTTGGGTGTACTGTTTCTCAAAGTTTGATTTAAATGTCCGTTGTTTCTATCATTAATGTCAACTGTTTTATTGGAGATGCAGGTTTCTAAAAGCAGGTCCGTAAACTAATTTTAAATCCCCTGCCCACATGTTATGTGGCATGTGACGGCTTTGTCATTTCATGTGATGCGCAATAATGTTGTGGTTGACAAATATAGCACAGCACATTAAGTGCCCTTTATCAGGTTTCAGACTCAGTGATGTTATGTCTCACCACCTTCAGCATCACTAAAGCTGTTGGATACAAAAAAAAAAAAAAGAAAAAGATGTGAGTTTTGACAAAGCAGCCAACCTCGACGGGTGTGATACCGCTTAGGTACATACGTTAGGATATAAGTGCTTCCTCTGACTTTGTAGTTGACTTGCACTTGCGATATTCTCGTGAGCTTGGTTTCGCGTGTACTGTGCGTGTACCGTTGTGCATCTGTGTGTACAGCGCTACAGCCAACTCTCTTTGACTTAATCACAACCTCGGAGCGATGCGAGAGTGCTGTCAGCTGTCCACAGGGGAGGGCCTAATTCACTCAGTGAGTGATGCAATCAATCAAACGGAGCATCAATCAGAGCTGCAGGAGGAATTCTTGTAGAGTACATATGACAGCAGGGTGTGCCGAATAGAGCCATGGATGCACTGATCAAACAAACAGAGAAGCGGTGTAAATTGTGACTATGCTTCATGTGCAGTAAAGCTTAAGACATGCCTTGTTGCTCTATGTAAATTGGGAAATACTGAATTGATACGCCATCTTGAATTCAGTTAAAAAAAAAAAACATTTTCACTGAATTAGTTGTAAATAATAATTCTGATTTATGTTTTTCAGATGCATACAACTACACACCAAACGTCAGTCTTCCAATTGGCATGGGCAACCCATGCCTGTCTACGCAGTACCACACCTTGCAGTCCAGTCCTGTCATCCCGGTCTCCTCTTGCCACCAGACTGGCTACAGTGTCCAAAATGACAACCATGCCGTGTCAAGTTACTACCTGCCTCAAGCCTTGAGACCCAACGGCGCTCCGGCTCTGGAAAGCCCTCGTATAGAGATCACCGCCTATAGCCAATACCCGGAGGATGAAGTAGAAGCCAGCGGCAGAGAAGATCACATCATCAAACGAGGCGTCAACTCTATCGTCACACTGACGCTGCCGAATGTGGATGGGTACCGTGACCCCAGCTGTCTAAGCCCCGCGAGCAGCATATCCTCTCGCAGCTGTAACTCAGAGGCCTCGTCCTACGAATCTGGCTTTTACAACTACGACAATTCCCCGCAGAACTCTCCCTGGCAGTCACCCAGCGTTTCGCCCAGAGGGTCATCCTCACTTCTGTCTTGTCCACATGCCATCGGTCCCGCAGCCTCTCCTCACCATTCGCCCTCCAACTCCCCTCAAATAGGCGCGATGGCAGAGGAGGGATGGCCAGCGCAGCCACGTGGGTCCCGGCCAAATTCCCCCTCCTGCAGTGGAGTTGGCGGAGGCAACAGCGGTGGCATGGGCAAGAGAAAATACAGTTTCAGCGGCTCCTCTTACCAGCAGACATCGTGCTCACCCAACCAATCACCCACCCCTTCTTCACATGGTTCCCCGAGGGTCAGCGTCACAGATGAGAACTGGCTTACCAACACCAACCAGTACACCAACCTTGCCATTGTTGCAGCTATTAATGCTCTCACCACAGACGGAATGGCTGACATGGCGGAAGGAATCCCAATCAAGACACGGAAGACCATGCTGGACCTCTCACCATCCATGAGTCTGAAGGTGGAACCCGGAGGTGAGGACCTGGGTCCAGAAGGGGAGCTTCGACATGAGGAGTACCCTTCCCGCCTTAGCCTCAAGAAGGAGAATTACTGTGGAGGGTTTCTGGATGTACCACAGCATCCATACTCATGGTCTAAACCCAAGCCTTACCTCAGGTAAGCCACTCCTTTTATTGTGTATTGAGGTTTCACAAATCTGTTAATATTCCTGTACCTGCCCAGTCGTGTGTTGGACCATGGGTTGGGTAGGTCTTCTGCTTACTTTCATTTAACGAGAGCTTTGAATAAGATGCAACAAAATGGCATGAATTAGTCCTGATTAGGGGTGTAACAAGATCTAGTAGGACAAGATCTCATGGCAGTAAAACACTGCAATATTTATTATGAAAGTGAAGTCTGTGTCCGTTTCTGTCATTATGTGACTACATTCTGTGTCATATGATGTGCTAGTATCCAGGGCTTATAAACTATCAATATAAGCCCTGGATGCGTTGTAATGTTTTATCTATGCTTAATAATTTTGGTTTTGAGTAAAAAAGAAAGTTTTTTCATTATTCCCCTGGTTTGTTGACAGAGTGAACAAATAAGCCTGGATTACAACACAAACTCCGACAATACGATGCCATATTGAAATATTTTATGTGGTAGCATTCGAGGTTCTATTGAAAAAAAGAAAAGTTGACACTGTGGAAGATGAGATGTAAAGTATTTGTGAGCACAACAAGGCTATTTTAAATCCTATGCATTACCCACTAAAGATGGTAAAGTTCAGATCTGCTTTAAAACTTCTTACATGTGGATCTGCAGGAGCATTTCATGGTTGTTAATGATTCTGAGCTTGTTTTGTTCTTGTGAGCAAGATGATCAGGTCTCATTGTCCCAACCGTAAATGCAAACTACAATCTCTGACATCATTTTGGACATTTGTAGCTCCCTCTTAGTCCAACGCAATATTTATTGCATTATCTGTAATCCCCCACAGACTAGAACCCCATCTACACACCACCCACAGCTCATGGTGGAAGCATTTCTTTGTAAAGTTTGTCTCAGACAGCTGGGTCGCACCAGGGAGTCACATTTGCAAAGGTTTCCATAAAACAAATAATATATGACAGACGTTAAGCTGAATCCTCCTTTCTAAATAAAGTGCCACCAGTGGATAATTTATATTATTCATTCAGATCCAACTTTCCCCAAAACTGCCGCTAGAAGCAGAGATGCACACACTTCTACTACCTTAAACGGGCCTCTGATCTTTACCTTTAAGCCTTTAGCTCACTGTTTTACTGAGTACACAATCCATCACCTCAATCTGACTCATGTATTGTCTTTATGCATCTATATTAAGTTTTGCTTATTTTCCTGAGAGGACAAGATTGTTTCAGTTTTTAATCTTCAAAGGCCGTATGAAAAGTCAAAGAATCAAAGATACACGCTCCTCACTTCCAAACAAGCTCCCTTTGAAGATCAGAGTATTTCATAAATCATATTTCGCACAGAGGAGCTGCTCAGCTTGTGTATGCAGCCGTTGCTATAACAACTCACACACAAATATGGTGTGTAGACACACGTTCAAACAAACACACAAGGTGAGCCCCCCTTTGTGGCATGTCTTTCCAAGCCAATAGCACACTTTCCTGTTGGAAATCAAGTGTTTGATTAAGATAGTGAGGAACAGGAAGTAACGGTGACAGGCTCGACTGAAGGGGAAGCAGTCTGGGAGTTAATCAGCTGGCTCGCTGCACTGGCCTGTCGCGCCATTAGACCATCTTTTCTCCCCGCAGTTAACGTGATGTCATGCACCGTCTGGGCAGATAAAGCCTTGCGGGGGGAAATCAGTTTGTCTTGGGTCAACAAACAGCCCGCAAGTTCCACAGAGATGCCAGAGATTGGTTTCAGCCAAACCGCCCCTCGGGTCAAGGGTTTGCGTTTAGCAGGCATCCGGCCAGCCGAGAAATATTGTCTTGCACATGTTTGTTTTGGTTTAGATATCTCTGCGTCGTTCACATGGGAATCTCTGACTCTCTGTCTGGAGAACAATGACGTTGAGGGATGCCGGCTGCGGCTCGGAGAAAGAGATATCATGCACTCCAAAGACGGGCCGCGCGTCTTGATCCGCTCTCTTCAAAACCGACGGGGATTGTGTCGTCAAATCTCAGTGTTACCCAATCCTGCAACAGAGCAGCTTAAACGTTGGTCTGTACCAGGTTTTGTTTGCGTGCCTCAGAAATGTCTTTCATCCTGCTGTCACTTTCTTAACTCGTTGTGGCTGTTCCCACCTGTCATGCCATAATGTAAAACACACAGCTCTCAAACTGGGCCACATTTGCTTTTCATTTGCTTTTGTACATAAAAGACACAACTAATTATTAACCTGGCCTAAAGAATTATGCATGTCAGTGTAATAGTGCTGTTGGTTAGATTTAGGACCATGATGAAACGGAGGAAGATCAAGTCAGTTGGATTACTCCAAAGTGGCCCAATTTGTGGCTAATTTAAAGCAAGCTTGGAATTATTAGATCCAGGTTTTTCTGACATGGAGAGAACAGTGAAGCGCCTGGAAGTTCACGTCTGCAAATTCAATTAAAAAAAAGCAGTGATTTTAATCTTATGTTACTTTCAGCTTAGGGCAATCAACTTGTCCTGTTCTTTGCAGCCCCTCACTGCCGGCTCTTGACTGGCAGCTGCCGTCCTGCTCCGGTCCGTACAACCTGCAGATTGAGGTGCAGCCAAAGTCCCACCACAGGGCCCATTATGAGACGGAGGGAAGCCGAGGAGCCGTGAAGGCGCTGTCTGGGGGACACCCTGTGGTTCAGGTACGTCTAACTGAAGTGCAGTGAAGATGCGAGTGTCTTTGAAATGTTACCATTGTGATATTCATTATCGATACAAGCTAGTTACGTGATTTTAAAGAAATAGTTCTTAGTTTGTAAGGGAATTTGTGCCACATTTCTGTAAGCAAAGACTTTTTTGTTGTCTTCATTTATTATAAATCCAGGTTCAGTTCTTGGAAGATAACATCCTGTAACTTTTAGATTGAGCCCTTCTTCAATAACATAAATGGCTCAATACTAAACTTTTGCAGAGCTGAATGACTGCTGACTAGGGAACTTGGCATTTTCATTGAGTTGTATCTAAGCAGGTGTATATCCAAAAGTTGTCAGATATTAGCTATTGACGACTGGAATTGAGCACTTAAATTAGCCGTTAGCTTGAAGCCACAAGCTAACTGCTTTTCTGAGATGAGCCTAGACTTTTCAGGCCAAAAATGAGTTGATAAATCTTAATTTTGAAGAGAATTTTTAAACAGAAGCTAATATTGTATCTTGACAAACACTTCACGTTAAAAGAACAGAGTTCATAAATATCACCTGTGTTTATTTTATTTTTTTGCTGTAACTTTAAGGGAAGCTATCCATCATTCTGACTCTGTTTTTATCTCTTTTTATCCTCATCTGAGGTTCATAACATTTACACTGCATCAAACAGGAATACCTTTATCATTACTCAAACGGTTCCTGTATCAGATTTAAGGCTATACCTTTTTCACTTTTTCATTATCTATGTAATAGACTTGATAATAGATCAATCTTGATACCTAAATGGTGCGCCCCAAACTTTAAGAATAACAGGCCTCGACTAAATTGGACTTCTACCATGTGAAGACAAAGCCATTCTTAAATATGTCATCCTGTTTTATACAAACACTCCTTTATGAAGTTTTAAGCCATGTTCACAATCACATTAGGTAGTTATAATGGTAATTTAAACAACTGTTGTCTACTTGTAGAGAATGAAGTGTAATTTCATTTTCAGTGAGAGTAACTGAAAAGTAAGGCAGTGTAAAAATCAATATCATGTCCTTAAACCACAATCTTTTTGCTTTTTAAATAACTTGTATACAGTTGTAGTTTTTTTTTTTTTTTGTGCATGCTTGTGATACGACCTGTTGTCAGTGTGTTCACAAAAATCTGG